TTCCTCAAGGAATTCACATTGGGATTTAAATGTTCTCCACATCTATTTCTGTTTTCTTCTTGTTAGGATAGTGTAGAGCGATAAATCCTCGACCGTATTAGGTCATCCTTTATATTCTTCTGTTTGTCTATAGGCAGGAATTGGAGTATGCGGATTCCAGTACAGGGTTTTCTGGTGTGGAATTCCATGCCCAACCGAAATTCTTAGTTTGTTCCTCAAGGAGTTCCGTGAGGACTCTAAATGTTCTCCACATTTAGTTTTTCTTCTTCTTTTTTTGTTTGGATAGTGGAGAGCGATAAATCGTCGATCGTACTAGGTCATCCTTTATATTTTTGTGTCTTTTATAGGCAGTAAGGAGTTGGGAAGAACGCACTAAGATATTCATTACGGTTGATTAATTCCCAGTTTTTGAGAAGGGCCTGTTTTAGTGCCGCACTTGTGGGTAGTAGGGCAAGACAAAGGTAAGGGGAGTCTCGTTGTCTTCATTTCTAGTCTGCATTCTCAGGTTCTTGTGAGTTTCACCTTGCTGAAGGAGCAGGGTCAAGTCTTCGTGGGAGTATCCTCGTTTTATGAGTTTGTCCTTGAAGGACTCAGCCTTCTTCTTAAAGTCTTTAGAGTGTGCAGCTGACCCGAGTGTCTAGTTTCCTTTCTGTTCTAAATCGTTCGCCCTTTTATACGACGAGATCGAGGAAAGTTACTTGGTCGTGCGAAATCTCTGACGTAAACTTAAGTGTTGGGTGAATTAGATTTAGGGCAGTAACGAGTTCACCAGCGCTGTGTTTTCACTACCGTCGAATATTATAGAAGGACGTGGTCTGTATCTCATGAAGCTCACAATTGAAGGGTTGCGAGGGAGAATGATTTCTTTCTCAGTTACATTTAAAACTAGACTGGCCAGTGTAACATGAAAAGAATAACTACCTAACACTTCATACCCCTGTTTTGGTAATCTGTTCTTTTTAGAACTTCACAAACCCACAAAAGAAAAACGGATATTCACCTTGATGCCTCCTTGTCCTCGAATTTCACACCAGTTATGCCTCTAACGTAAGGACTTTAGATCACTCGCCACCCCAAGAGTAATAAACCGCCCCACTTGTTTATGTATTTGTTTAATCAAATGCTTTACTCTTAGGAAGTAATTAAACCAAAAGTACAGCCTATTTTCTCCTTTAGAATGACCGACACACCAACTAACGCACTGACCAACTGCCCTTCCTAACAACTGACCAACGGTCTTTAAAACGGATGTATAGTTAACTTGTTAACGTCTTTGTACATTAAAGGTGTGTTTGTTACATGTGGTGGCCTTTCCACGATGATTGCGTTTCACATCTCAACACTGCGATGTTCCGAGACTCACACTCTGATGACTCTCCTCGTGGAATACACATACTACCAGTCAATTGCTCTGTTTGGCCCACTGACTGTTTCTAAGCTAACGAAAGCCTGGAAAGAGCCGCGCAAAGCGCAGGAAACTTTTCTTATGGAGCTAATCTCCCGTGATGCGAATACCGAGTACGGCAAACGATATTTGAGAGGCATTCAATCATTGCAAGATTTCCGAGACAAACATCCACTCACCAAGTATGACCACTACCAGGATTACTTCCAGAGACTGGCGGACGGAGAGAAGAACGTTTGTGTGGCGACCAAAGTGGAAAGGTTTGGACTGTCTTCGGGTACCACGGGCAAGGGAAAGCTTATCCCACTGGTGATCTCGAAGAGTGGAGCTGTCGCAGGATTCGTGTATTTCCGACGCTTGGCAAAGTTCAGTCCAGTGCAAAAGATGGTCACGGTGTATTGCAAACCTGCCCACAAGTTCACAAAATCAGGACTGCTCATTGCACCAACATCATTTATCCAGGAAAGCAGAGCCTCGAAGTTCATGACGGGTTCTGTTTTGAACACACCTTTTCCTGCTTTCCAAATCTCTACAGACTTCGAAGCCTCCTATGTTCACCTTCTGTTTGCTCTCGCGGACAAAAACATTTTCATGTTCACAGCACCATTTGCGTCGCAGGTTTACAGGGCGTTTGCAGTACTTGAGGACAAAAAAGACATGTTGTTGGCGGATTTGTCTCAAGGCAAGATCAATCCTAGCTTGAACCTAGATGAAGACATTCGACGGTCCCTGAATGCTGCATTGAAGCCCAACCCAGCTAGGGCTGACGAGCTGAGAGCGGAGTTTGCTCGAGGCTTTGTAAGCATCGCTAGCCGGATCTGGCCGCATCTTGAGTGTATTCTCACAATCGACGTTTCTGAGTACATGAAGAAGCTCGAGGAAAAGTACGCCAAAGGTCAGTTTTATCAGTGGTTAGGTACACAAATAATTCAGCAGATTAAAAAACCGAAATCTTTTCATAATCCATAAATTTGGACAACTGTTCAGTCTGACGTCCCCCGGTTTCACCCTTAAAAAGGTGAGACAACGGACACTGCATAATAGGTTTTGAAAAGTTCCGATGTATCCACGTCAAAGTTGTACGTGTAGATGCTTGCATTTAAATATCAAATCACTTTAAAGTCCTCTTGGTTTTTAAATCCATCTTTTCTACCGCAATATTTGTCAATTAACATAGACATGAATTGAAAAGAGTGTCAAATGGAACACAGCCGAATCTGCCGAATTCGGCGCATCTGCTTTTGTTACTAGGATGGTAGATTCGCCTACGCCCCTTCTACCAGTTGGACCTGATGCAACTACCCATCTCTGTTTATAATAAGGCTCTTAAAGCAAAATGCCACGCCCCAAAATTGGAAGTAATGTATTAGGCCAAAAAGGTTTTTCGTCTCTGGTCAGTGCGTGCGTCCATTTCAAGCATGTGCGTCAAACTTTTTTCTCTGCGAGAGCTGCAACAGCGCCCTCTGTTACCGCTCTGCCTCAACATATTTGCGGGCAGCTCGATCTTTTACTAATGGCGATAGATGAATAATGATAGCAGACTATTGAACCGAAGTTGTTTGTTCTCAGCTTATGATAATTATAAAGCTGGTCAAGTTCCAAAACTCAACGGCGTTTGTCTACAACTGTCTGTACATACCAACCCTGGAATAAAAAAAGAAGTTGCTTCGCCGCATCAACTCCGGATCATCAGTTTTACCAGAGAAAAACTATTTTTTGGCCTTATCGCACTGTGTTAAATATTTGCCAAGTTCATAAGTCAAGCCCCAAATCGATGTTGCGTTAAAGTGAGCAACTTTAGCACAAGTGCCCCCTTTTTATTTTTCAAGAACATTTCTCTTGTTGTTAACACGTAAAATTTAGTTATAGTTTAAATTTAACTACAAAACATGCTAAACCCACCTTCTTTTGCATTCTCCTGTGCAGCTCTCGGGCAACTCTGCTGACCCTACTTAATGCTGCTAAAGCTTTTAAGCAATTCACGTGCCTGTTGAAATGTATTACTGGCATGCTTCACACGTGGCATATTGCTGTTAATAATCTCGATTATTGACAGCGATGGGAAGCCGTACCGGATGGCTACTGCTGTTAGTGTGAATTAAAGAAGTAACTCCAATGGAAACTAATAGCTACCTTATCCAAAAGTGGCTGATGGAACTTTTCTGGGGGGTCACTTTCATGGTTTCTTTGAAGCATTTCTAATGCACTTAGAAAGAGTTCATTGTATCATATTTGTAGAGGTAGTATCTTTTCCGGCATTCAACAGCAATGACCAAGCTATCAGATTTGCAATTTAGTAGTCATTGCCTCATGCGTTGTTATGTTCTCTTGTTCCAATCTGCCAGCCTAGGTATAGGCCCTACTATTATACGTGAATTACGCAGCGAATACCACGCATGGTACTGCAGTGTGAAGGATTACCTGGATTCTATTTTACAACAGGCATGCGATCAGCGTCTGTTTTACAGACTTGTATTCTCCAATGCAGGTACCAAGTTATTCACATCCTCCTACACCTGCACCGAATGCTTGTCCCTGGGGATCAACCTGTGGATGGATGGGAGAACTCAACAGTATGTCCTATTGCCTGGTGAAGTCATGCTGGAGTTTATCCCAGAGGAATTCAGGTAAGAAATTTCGAAATAGCAGTGCAGTCTACCCAGCCACCAGTTGTTTGCTGTTGTTTGTCATTGTAAAGATGTCAAATCCACAAGATCATACAACTTTAAGCTAACGGCATAGAGCTTGATGCCTCAAGCAGGATTGTAACAATTGGGACTGCATACTTTAAATTACAATTTCTGACAGCATATAGCATCAATCTATTAGGGCAAAGTTACAGTCAGCATTTTTTACAGTGAAGATAATTTGTCCAATTTTTTCTTAGGCTTTCTTCAGTTTTTGAAAGTGCCAAGGTTCGCCTTAGTTGGCGCGTTACACATATACATTGAAGTAACCTAAGACGTTCTAACCCCTTATACAGTTGTTATAAGGTCGATTTCGTTTCTGTCGATGAAATTCCTTCACAGTGTGGAGGATGATCCTGAGACGTTGTTAATTGATGAGGTCGAGGTTGGCAAGCGCTACGAGATTGTACTAACAACCATATCTGGGTTTTACCGCTACCGCATGGGCGACGTAGTGGAGGTTGTTGGCTTCTATGAGAAATGTCCTGTGATTCAGGTGAAATACAGGTAAGTGCTAACCTTTCAACTTTTTTGGTTGTCCAGTCCATCACAAAGCTATCACAAATCAAGGACAAAGGATGCTATTACAACATAATTTGAATTGGCTGATACTTGACTTAAAATCTGTCTTCAGGGGCTTATTACTGACTTGTGATGAGCCTTCCGGCCAGTATTGTGATATTTTTATGGAACCTCCAAAATGAAATCCTCCTAAAGGAAATTAAGAAGAGGATCATTAATATTATGTCATACCAATGACTCAACTTATTTGAATGATGAGAAAAGTAGGCTTTCATGTTTAGTTTATCATGGAGCCATCAAACACAAGGAGTTAGAACAAAGTCCCTACAGACCGTATTCCGATTCGATTAACTGCTCTGGTGGGCTCCACAGACAAAGCGCGGTTACCAGCCTCAGTGTTGAAGACCCTAGACATGCCACTGCTGTGTTTCGCTGCGGCATACTGGAGTAAATAAATGGTGGAAAACATGCACGAAGAAGATGTGCAGTTCTCTTCAGTAGTCCTCAGGAGTCAGCGATTGAGCTCCACACATGCGCTCGAAAATTCAAAATCAGCGGTGGTTATGTGACAAAAGTCGGACGTTTTTAAAGTAAGTTGTGACACTTTGCGCTTCCGACGGTAGAGAACAAATACTCAAAATATGAACTGCGATATTTATATTATAAGTCGCAATCCTAGTGGTTCCTACGGTTAAAAGAAGGTGGAATCATGCCGCAGGAATGCATTTGACAACGTGGAGAGGTTTCATCCTGAGGCAGTTTTGGACAATGACAGAAAGGACAACGAATTTTCCCATGTGTTTGTGTGTGTTTTTTTATTTTACTCTGTACCAGCCACATTCTCTCAGTTTTCTCGTGCATGTTTTTGGAGAATTTGTATTAGTTAATAATTTTGTTTTTTGCTAAAAGAGACGTTTTGGGGATGTAAAGACGTAACCAGACTTTCATTGTCATTGGAATATCAGAACAATCACTAAAATTAGCGGAATTTAAGACTCCGATGACGGTGGTTTCTGTCTCAAGGCGGCCATGTTGAACACGTGGAAGTGTTACGGACACGCATGCGCGGTACCCACAATCCTTTGCAAATGCAACTCCGAGCATTCCTTATAGTCCGCAAGCGGCGCGTAATTTGTTTTGTCCTTGCAGCACGTGCAGTGCTGGCGGTGGCCGTTATTGACTCTTTTGATCTCTGTACGTGCTGACTCCTTGTGTTAAATAGCTCTATGGTTTTACCCAGGAAGACAAGGAAACGACGAGACATGGATTCTAAAAGTAGCACTGTATAATCCTTTCTGGGCTTTCTTTTTTCAGAACGGGCGAGCTACTCAATTTACGCAGCGAGAAGATTGACAAGCATGTCGTGAACAACGCCATACAGGAAAGCTTGGGAAACTGGCCAGGAGTCACACTCGTGGAATGGACATGCGCAGAAAGTCCACTGCTTTACGAAGATCAAGACGGTATGGGTTGAAACACAGTCATAATGCAGTTAATAAATATGCCCTGTGCACGTGTGTGCTCTAATATTTTAATATACTATTTCATAATAGAAAAAGAAAACTCAAGAGTGCCAGGAAATGCACCACATATTTGGGACGAAAGGGGTTCTGTAATGACGTTCGATTAAGAGTTCTTTCCCGTATTACTTTGTGCTTTCGTTTTTTTTCAGGTGTCGCGTTTGACATGTTCTACCTGCTGTTCATCGAGTTTGAATCAGTAAAAACTTTACGTCTATCAGAAGAGCAAAAATCATTGGTACTAATCATTACTTTAAATACATTTTACATGTTTGATTTAACATAATTTGTATATAGTATGATCAAAGAATTGATGTCTGAACTTATCATCCGCTTTTCACTTAGCCACAAAAAATAGGAAGTATTTTTGTATTTTTTTCAGTTCGATAAGTCCCTCCGTAAACAGCACGAGTTTTACGACAACTATCGGCAGGTTGGCACCATCAGCGAAGCTCGAGTGATGATCGTTTTCCCAGGATCCTTCAAGAAGTTTCAAGACTTCATCATAGCGAACTCGACGGCTAGTTATAACCAGTTCAAGATGCCAAAAAAGCTACGGTCCAAAGCTACTGTAGACTTTCTCGTGAAGTTAGTTGTAGACATGTAACTCTTACTCTTGCTCCAAAATAACTGGGGTGAAATTATCCGTTTCAAATATTCCCCCTGTTTACTTTTCATGATTGTATGATTTTTTTTAACATTCCTGAGTATCGAAATGTCAGCTGATAACTTTAATCTTGTTTTGACATCAAAAGAGAAAACCTGCAGTTGCACCATGCGAGAAAACTCTTTCTGGGAGTGAATGGACTAATTTTGAGCGGAACCGATGAACTTACTCAACGTTTCAGACAGTATGTTTTGACCAGGTCCGGGTTCAGTGTTCCATGAGCCCTATTCACCAGTGTTATGCACGCCTTACCTTGCTCTACAGTTACAAGCAGGGATTTCATAGGGTTGCTGAGCACTGGAGCGTACTATTTCATTTTCATCGCAATATGGAGTAAACAATGAAATAGCTCACAAAATAAAACTAAATCAGAAATGAGACAACGAAAATTTTGTTCTGTGCCAGATTTTTATTTTTTTTCTGCACACAACTGCGGTTTTTTAACGTAAGCGTTCAAGCTTTTCGTGGGCACCTTAATTTTTCGCAGGCCCTATAGGCTCTTAGCCTATTTGAACTCTTCGATAATCCAACCCTGGCTGTGTCTATTATCAGAGTCCTGAATACGAACTGGGCAATTTTTAGAAATGGTCCAGTTCGTCTTCAGGACACTGAAAATAGATTGATGATAGGCGGGTTTAGTGTAATCCTAGTGCTTCTTTTCTGAACCTAAATCACTTCCAAAAATTTAAGAAGAATTACATTATTAAAATTGACTGGATAGACACAATCTGTGTCTTGTGTTGAGGCATTACATCATGAACAATGAGATACACTCTCAACCGTTAGGTTCATCGTTCTACTTGTAAATATCCTGAATATTTTCATTTGCCGCGCTTGTATATTCTGTTTCACTTTCGGTTACGATTACATATTTTCATTTAAAGTGAAACGCTCATTTAATTTTACTAATGTGCCTTGTTTATTTTCATCCAAACTCTGTCCATATTATTTTCATTTCATTATTTTTTGTCTTTTTTACTCATTTGTGTGTTTATGTTAATTGTGCGGCTTAAGTTTTATTATTTATTATTTTCTGTATTTTTCTTTTAACCGCTGCACAGGACCGATTTTTCCATGTTAATGCCCGGACGCTGTCATATGAGTATCAGCTGAATTCACTGCACAGAGCCTACTTTTTACACCCATTGCACCAAGGTGATCATTTTGAGATCACTTCCGTTATAACCACAAAAATGTGACACCCCCAACACAATGAAACTACTCAGACAGCTGTCTACAGCTCAGATACACATAAGAGAGACCGACCATTGATATAAGACAGGCCCAGGCTTTCCCAGGCTTTCCAAGGCTTGCCCAGGCACTTTCTTTGTCAATAACCCCTTATCAGCACGTGGTTTAGATATTAGTCCCATACGTACATTCTAATGAAAAATCACAGTATTCTTACTTTCATTATGTTTGTTTCGTTTGAAATCGCTGATATGTGTGTATAGGTTCTATTGGTTTGTATAAGAATTAAAACAGTGTGCATGAAAAGATCTATACCGTCATTACTTGAGGACAATACAACGATACATTATTCGTGAAGAGTTGGACAAACATACACTATAAAGAACAGAATATATAGGGTAGACAGGATACAAAGGAAAAACAATCGGGAAGATGGAAACAGAGAATTCGGTTTTTTAGAAAACAAACTGGGTACTGGTGAAATTAAAAAGTAAAATTCAAGGGCAATTCTCTTTCCCTGCAAGAACTTATTTGTCGAGTTCCAAAATGACTGGTTACACGTCAATAATCGATCTGAGGCATTCTCAGCAGAAAGTTGATTTGTGATCTTTCAGTCATACAAGCTAAACACATATGAAATTCTTGTCCTGGTGTATAAGCATTAAAACAACAGTGATTAACAGAGCTTTCTATTGAGTTATACAGCCTTGTTCACCCGGATAACGATGACTTTACTATGTGGTCGTTCGTTAACTCATTGTTTGACTCAAAACGAAATGGAGCGGAAAGTAATCGACGATTGATTGAATCACCGGTTGAAATACACTTTGATTACCACATTGTTACAATTACAAACATTATGTGTCTTTCAAGATTGAGGAACTCCAGTTTACAAAAAAACAAATGGCTGTTGATTACCCTCACCACAGAGTTTACAAGTCTTTTTATTCTACTTCAATTTCCTGTCAATATAAAGTCAGTCTCAGTTATTTGTCTCCGTGCCAATTTTAACATCTGCGTTTGTTAATCGTCAGTGGTGACATTTTACTTTTGAAATTTTGTCTTAAAACACTTGACTGTGTTGACACCATTTGACAAATTGATTTACCCCATTCCTGTATTCATTTTCAGTAGTGTTTGAAATGAACCCGTTAATGAGGTATATCTGCATGCTTAAAAATACAGGAGGTATCACTATTAATTCTGTTATCACTTGCACATAATGCGAAAAGCAGTGGGGATAATACACAGCCCTGAGAGAATCCAGAGGCCCGGCATGATCTTTGCTCCCAGTCATCTGTTAGATAAGAAATTACTTAAATTACAACCGAGATAAAACAATTTATCGCTCGTATTAAAACGCACCTGGTACGGGGAAACGGTGAAATTTTCAAGTATTCGCTGGGGCCTGAGTAAAGTGGAAGTCAGGGAAAACGTTTTCAACCCCCCCCCCATTACGGTGGTCCTAGATGCTCGTTGCCTCAGTTTGATTGTTGATTTTCTAGCCTTTCATATCTAATTAATAGCTCTGTCCTTGTGCATTTACAAACCGTTGGAGTACATAGTTCACAGTTATTACAGTGTAATCCAGTCCTGTATACAGCTAAGACTGGAATGTACTTCGAAAAAGGGAATCCCCTACATACATACAAATATGCGGTAAAATAATTTCATTTTGTAAAATGTATTTATTTTGGGGGTAATTTAAACCGAAAGAGTGTCATCATAGCTGTGGAAAGACTAACTGCAAGTCATATGTATGACATGACTCGTTCCAGGTCGAAAGCAGTTCTTCAAATATCAACTGCATCATTATAAACATTATTATCAATAACATCTAATTCGGCTGACAAAATGTGGCTTACAATTGGACTAGAATGAATCTAGGATCAGCTGACACAGGTTATCAAAATGTAAAGTCTGGAGTCCCCCGGACTCTTGTACTCATAAAGGGCAAGCTTTGTGCCATTATACAGATATCTACTCACACTAATTACATAGAAAGTTCCTGCAAAATGGCAGTGACATGGGCTCATCGTTGTTCGCTGTGGGCTTTGTTGTCTGTGTGTGGCACCGCCCATGTTTTCAACGCCTACTTTCTGAAGGAAGCAACATGGCCATGCCGTGGTGCAGCAGGTACGTAGACATCAGACAACACTATATTGTACACACCGCCAACCAAGTATTGAGTATGGAAGTGTGAGTCACCTCATGACTTTGTATAGATCTTCAACATAATGACGTAATGCAGTGTTTATCGCGGTGCATTGTGGGTGAAAGGTGGGGACGTTGCAAGAACGCGTTGACGTGACACGTTATGTGTAACGTACATGTATGTTACTGTAACAACCTCGACTCCTTAAAAATGACGCGAGATGGTTTTAGTAGCGCTGAATTTTGAGTCTCGGTAACCGAACTCGAAGCAATCGTCCTGGCCCAACTGCACGGACAATTCAGATTTAAAAGAAGTCTTTGTTGACAAACAGAGGTTGGTTAGGAATACGAGTTTCTTTTATTCTCAAAACTTCGCCTCATGCAAAGCTCCTTACAGTCAAACGGGAAGTTGGTGAGGAAAATCCTCCTGTTTGCTAACAAGTATTTCACCCGCGCAGCAAAAGACTTCACAAATGAAGTATTTTCTCAACACCTCACACCTCACAGGCTCAAAGCATCGAAACTGGTCACATCAGACTTGAGCTCGCTGCTCGCAAAGTTCCAACTCGATTTCTCAACACACTTTCAGGATTTTTATACTCTACAAATCTACTATTTAACACAGTTGCTGAATATAAGTCACAAGTAAATTATGCAGTAAGGTTACATCAACCTGATCTAAATTGATGACTAATTCCATTGACCAATCAGAATAAAACCAAATGTTGTAAACCCATGACTTATATCAATTTCTTAATAAAGTATCATCCCTTCATTTCAAAGAAATATTATTCAATGAAAAAAAAGGAAAATTGTGGGTACACTGGCCTCCGCCCCCACACTTCAAGTAACTAACCAAGTTTTATCAATGGGTCAACTGGCCTTGGTGAACATCTGGTGTTTGACTCATTGACCACTACACTTTTCTCAAAACCTGTTCACAAAGTCTCAGCATTGTTACAGGGAGACAGCAAATTAGACACACAAATAAATGTTGGTTATATACAAAACTGGACTATTTGAGGTTATTACACAAGCTCTAACCGTTTATAAATGGACAAAATGATTTCGATCATGAGAACTGATTTACGGAGGCTGCTTGCATTTACTTAGGAGAATTTGTGTTAGCCTGAAATCAAAGGAGCTGTGTAACTCCTCAAGAACAATAGTATGGAAAATCCTAATAAAGGTGAAATGTACACACAAAATCTCCTATCATGCAGTTTGTGTTCCACTGGACATTCAATTTCCGCGGCAAATCGGTTTTCCTGTTTAACAAATAGATCATGTGAGGCAGAATGAACCATTCTATCGAAACGTTTGCAATGCTTGAAATCATTTCAAATGCATAGTTAAATTACGCTGTTTGAGAGCTTCAGGTAAACACCATTATGTCTTAATAGACTTCAGCATTTCTCTCAAAGATGGTATTTATCAATTTTGTTTTTCAGGTATCTTTGTGGCTTTGGGCATTGTCTCTACAGTCATCGCATTCCATATCTCTACCCTCCGCTGTTCCGAGAACCACACCTTGAAAACACTGTTGCTTCAGTATGTTTTTCTCCAGGGAGCGTCCTTTGCCGCTCCATACATCTTCTCTAAGATGACTAAGGTGTGGAAAGAGCCGCGCAAAGCACAAGAAACATTCCTCCAAAAGTTGATCTCCCGTGATGCGAATACTGAGTACGGCAAACGATACTTGAGAGGCATTCAATCACTGCAAGATTTCCGAGACAAACATCCACTCACCAAGTATGATCACTACCAGGATTACTTCCAGAGACTGGCGGACGGAGAGAAGAACGCCTGTGTGGCGACTGACATCCACAGGTTTGGCATCTCCTCGGGCACAACGGGCAAGGGAAAGCTTATCCCGTACGTATTTTCTAACAGTGTAGCTATGTTAGGGCTTGCAATCTTTACGCTTGTAGTAAAGTCGAGTCCTGTGAAGAGAGTCGTTGGGCTGTACTGCAGGCCTACACCGAGGTTTTCAAACACAGGACTACCCATTGCTCCAGCAACTTTTATTCCAGACAAATTATCGTCAAGAATCCTGTTAAGTGTCTTCCAGAATTCACCCACGAGCACCTTCCAGATTTCAACAGACTTCGAAGCCACATATGTCCACCTCCTTTTCGGTCTCACTGACAAAAATATCGATTTATTTTTCGCGCCATTCGCGTCGCAAGTCTACCGCGCGCTCAAAATGCTGGAAGAGAAACAAGACATGGTGCTGGAGGATTTGTCTGTAGGCAGGATCAATCCTAGCTTGAACCTTGATGAGGAGATTCGACGGTCCCTGAATGCAGCATTGAAGCCCAACCCAGCGAGGGCCAACGAGCTGAGAGCGGAGTTTGCTCGAGGCTTTGAAGGCATCCTGGGCCGGATCTGGCCCCACCTAACAGCGCTAATGACCGTGGATATTTCGGGCTACATGAAGAAACTCCATGCCAAATACACTAAAGGTAAATAATTAACAACAGAATGTCTCAAAAGTTTGGCCCTGACAATTTTCATTTCAAGGACGAAGCACGATTTCAATAAATTTGGTTCTGAATTACATGAGTAAATGATAATGTGGTTAGCTCATATTTGATTTGTATCTCTAATATAGGCACCCGTCTATTTAGCTTCGCTTATGGTTGCACCGAAGGTATGATGGCATACAATCTGTGGCTAGACGGTGAACCACAGCGGTACGTGCTGCTCCCCAACGAAGTCTTGACCGAGTTCATTCCCGAAGAATTCAGGTGGAGATTCTTCCAATCTAGTTACTTACATGAGAGTACCCCCCTCCGTAATAACGGACATTGACGTTTACCCCGTCTCCTACATTGAAGAGTAGCCACACGATCTTCCACATGTTAACATACCAACAACTTCATTCTACTATAATACAGCTTTAAATATAGAATTGTCTCAAAATTTCCACCCATAAGTATTTACAAATGAGTAAAAGCAAATCAGATTTGCTCTCCACCCTTACTACCAGTTGACATGTTTTCAGAGAGCTTCAAGTAAAGCTTGATGTCTTTCTCCAGTGACTTGGATTGCATCTGCATCCTCATTCTCAAATCTAAGGATTAGGTTTACGTACGGATGTGATTTAAGTAAAACAACACAGTTAAAGCTGTAAGCAGGGGTAGTACCGAAAAGCCAATTTAAAAATAGAGTATTGAAATCAGGACGCCACGCCCACAATTCTAGGTGTCAAAGGCATCAGCGCAAGAATCAGAGCGTGAACCAACATGCGTGCGTGCACCCTATTTGTTTGCACTACACCTCTTGGTTCAAAATGACTTCACACTTCGGTTCTCTATGCCCCTCTTAAACTTGGCAACTAACGTTGACTTCGACCGTGACCCAAAACTGTACGAACATGTGACGAACCAAAACAGCTTTATTATAACTAGAGCTCGAATTACTGATTACTCCTTCTGTTCTTTAATCCAGCGATGAGGAGAATCCAGAAACCCTTCTTCTCGACGAGATTGAGGTCGGAAAGCGGTACGAGGTTGTCATAACGTCAAAAGCTGGGTTTTATCGTTACCGCATGGGCGATGTTGTTGAGGTTGCTGGTTCCCATGAGAACTGCCCAGTGATTCAAATGAAGTACAGGTGAGAATAAAAATCATTCTTGCAATCATTTGGTCTGATAATTATGAACAACAGGCAAGGCTTATCGGTATTGCTGGAGTATATCAAGGTCCTTTTTTTTTTTTTTACTAAGGTCACCTTTGGTGAGCTTTGTAAATATTATTTGTATTTGTGTACTTAGAACGGGCGAGCTTTTCAATTTACGTAGCGAGAAAGTCGATAGACTTGTTGTGGGCACTGCCATACAGGAAACCCTGGAAAGCTGGCCGGGAGTGACACTCGTAGAATGGACATGCGCAGAAAGTCCACTGATATATGGGGACCAAGAAGGTAAATATTTTATTGTCATTCCTCTGTTTCTTATACTGTCTGTTCTCTGGCCAGAACAATCACACTACAGGGTGATATATCTGCATATCACACTCACTGTGAGACATCACATCTTGCCAATAGCACGTGCACGCTCACGAGACAGAGAGCTTCTGTTTTGTGAATAGGTTATACCAGGGAATTCGATCAACGCACGCGCTTGTATAACAGAGTCTCCGCAGTGTATAAGGTAATGAAGAGCTGCTAACCACACTACGATATATCTGAACTTGTGCTCACGGATAAACGCAATACTTTCACATTAAGTTTTGCGCAATTAAAAGAGGTCACGGAACAGTGCATTCGCAGAATATCGTTAAGACAGTAGGACTGTCGTCTTTTGAACTTCTGAAATTAGAAGCTTGTTTCTTTGGATGAATTCTTCAAGACAGAGGTATGACAAATCTTTTGTTGACTGCTATGATATGGGAAACAATGTATATCAATCGTTTATTTTCAGGCTTCCTGTTTCGAGGCTATGAAAGCCACTGTATAAAAATACCTTTAGCCAAAGACATGAGCGAGTCTTTTTGCACAACACGTTACATCATCTTGCATCATTACCTCAGCGTCATTTCACTTGATGACAGGAACCAGCTTTTGTATAACTAAGATTGGATACCTCACACTAGATTCAACACGTTGCTACTAATCAAAACAACCTCTGACAAGGTTGTTGTCTTGCGACAAATTGCAAGTTTAAAGCCCAAAATAGAGGAAGAAGGTTATGGAAGTATACTGTTTGTTTCAAGTTTGTGCATATTGCATCATTATACACTGCGCTTTGGAGGAGGAACTTAAATGTTTTCAGAACTCTTTATCTCAGACTTGTCGTTTTCCTACCTTGTAGATGTAGAGTACGACATGTTCTACCTACTTTTCGTCGAGCTAGAGAAAGAAGTGCCTTTGTCAGCAGATCAGAGATCCTTGGTAATTCACAGCGTTGTTAACATTCAGGACAATAATTTTGAGTTGCTGTTGTTGCTATTGGTTGGTTCCAACTGCTATTTCTGAAGTTGCTGTTACTTTTGTGAATGCCGTTTTTGCTACTGGAGTTTTAGCTGCAGAAACCAAAGCCAGACTTTGAGTGTAGGCCTCTATATCGTCGGTGTTTTCACGAAGTGGTAAAACCATCAGAATCTTGCCGTTCCGAGATAAACGAAAATACCGGCCATTTCAAATCACATTTCAATCACGTTTATGTTATAGATTGATTTTATTTTTACAAAGTCATGATATGTAGGACTTGGAAAATACTAATCCATATTTAGTGACAGAGGTATTGTTTAATTTGAAGAATAATTCATTCATAAAAACTAGTAAAAGTTTTTTTTCACGTTGTGAAAACGTAAAAATCACAGAGGTCTTCCCCCCCCTATCGGTTGCTTCGTGAAAACAACACGCGCTTTAAGAAATTGTCACAATTGGTTACATTTCAATACGCACGCAAGGTGTTCATGTACATGTTAGTACAACATCATTTGCATTGTGTATATTTTCTCTATTTTTTACCCTGCTAACGAGGTGAATTTTTGTCACTTCGTGAAAATAGAGAAACATAAATGTAGTGGGACGCCACAAGGAGGCCCGGCCCCATTGTGAAACGAAACGAGCACTGCACGGGACACGCACAACTTGAGAGACGAAGACAGACTTGACAGGATCTTAGTAGCCTTGATTTATTGGTGACCAGCAACTGTCACAGGCATCCTTACAATATAGATCCTGGAGTGACAAAAAACCCCATTGCCTGAAATAACAAAATAATAAGAGCTTCCAATGATCAACCTGTATGTATACACACACTTTACATGTACAGTACATTTACACACTATAGCACACATGTGTATCATTGCTTACATAGGACACTTGAAAGTGAACGGCAACGTCCTTAAACATCATAACATATCAATATCACAAACAAAATCAAGAAGCACATGTACTCACTTCGTGAGTACATGTGCTTCTTGATTTTGTATTGCATTGTGCTGTAAATTGAAATGTGCACAAATCCACACTTCGTGAGTACATGTGCATCGGGTTTTTGTGAAGACTGTACTACATAATCGCCATGGATTATGGCTACACAGACGTGGAAATGGGTGCTACTGACATCAAAATATACCCATGCTCTCCGCGTCCCTCTAAAACTCGAACTCCACGGCCAACCCAGTCAAAGTCTTGGATGGTATTTTATACTGTTTTGTTTGTATTCATACACAAAAGAGTTACTTACCAAGTAAGTTATAGTACAAGTAACGTGAGCTTCAATTAACACGTCACCAAAATATCACATAATACAAGGGGTAATTATTGTACATGCCAATAATTTTGATATATTCAGTCAGTTATCTAAAATAATATTTGGACTTATTTTCCTGGTGGAAGTCTATCAAGTACAACCAGTCCTTGTGCGCGGGAAGCAAATACTTGACATACAAACGTGCAAATAGCCCAGATACAATGTAGATCAACTACACAATATGCATATCCATGTTTAGAATTAAAACAGTGAGGTCGCCCTTGTTATAAAGGCACGGTCCCCTACATAAAGACCGAATCTTTTGTCAGTTGTTTGTTCACAGTTACCAGGAAATGATAGGAAAAACTTCAGAGGGAAAAAATATCGATTTTACAGGTTTGTGTGAAAACATTTATGATATTTTGACAGCCATTTTCTTTTACGTTTTATTCAAATTACATTCATTTCTAATCTCTTTCGCAGTTTGATAAGTCCTTGCGTAAGCAGCATGAGCTCTACGACAGCTATCGCCAAATTGGCTCCATCAGCCAAGCTCGAGTGATGATCGTTCGCCCAGGATCCTTCAAGAAGTTACAAGACTTTATTATAGCGAACTCGACAGCCAGTTACAACCAGTTCAAAATGCCAAAGAAGGTACGAACAAAGGCAGCTTTTGATCTGATAATGAGCAACGTCGTTGATAACGATGCTTGATGGGGAATTTTATAATTCCTATATACACGAAACAAACGCTGCTCATTAGAAAATGATACCGGAAGACACTGGTCTGTCAAACACCTGTAATCGTGCAGAGTTTTTCATATCACGTGTTTGTGGATTTGTTCCCATTTCAATTTACAGCACAATGCAGTGCTCAGTTCATGTTCTGATTCCCATAGCGCTAATTGACCTGATATTGCCCTGAATCTTGACTAATGATGTTCGTTGCAAAACATTTTTTAAAACTTCTGAGTGAATGATTGAGAGGGTTTTTCTTTGAAAGGTATTTAAGCAGCACTGATTCATGTTATTCAATCCTGAGCTTTCCAGCTCGTCGTTAGAATGGGAGATTTTAGCAATCTGTATGATACATTAGCCATGTTTGATTTTATGCATACGCTTATGTAATCTTATTTGTAGACCTCAAACCACATATTCAGTTGAATGAGTCACAGATTGCCTCATGTGCATCAAATACAGCTGTGAGTTGACACTAAACTTTAATGGAGATTTGACCAAATTCTCGATTAGAATTGGGTTTGAGTGAAATAACGTAGAATAGTACAAAAAGTCACAAAGGCTACAGTGCCTTTCACATGAAAGAAATATATATTGCTGGCACTGAGATGAAATAATAGAAAAATTAGAATGTTGATCATAAATTAATATCAACATTGCTTGATCAATAAAGAAAGAATTCTTTACACATAAATACTGCTGGTAGCAGAGATCATTAGTTACTGAGAGGTATGGTATAAACGTAGGATACTAGCCGCAACACGTTTAAGATTGAATTAGGATTGCCGAGGTAGAATTAGAGAGATATCAAAGAGTTTTATTAAGATGAAATATTTTATGTCGTTGCATCATGGATGTTTCCTATGGATCGCAAATTTGGGTTCGATGAACTGAGAGATACTGAACTCGTAAGTGAGGTTTAATTTTTCTGTACTGCATCAAATGATCCAATTAAGGTACATAAAAAATGAATTGAATTGGAATAATTACTTTTACTGTACAGCCGAAACAAGTTTTGCAGAAACCGAGGTCAAGTTTAGCAGCACCAGCAACAGTGAAACAACTGTATCCCTAAAATTCAACCCAAATCAGTAGTATATAGGCCTCAGTACAAAATTGATGTGTAATTTGGACTTGGACAAGTATGAAACCTTTATTTCAGGAGCTGAATCCAACCCAACATATTTATAATTTTCACAGATTACGGGGGCTATTATTACACCTGTTTAATCGTTTATGAATCCCATTTAAATTAATTTCATGTAATTAAATTTTGGATACGAGGCTGCTACGAATTGAAGATTTGTTTTAGACGTTTTGGTAGAATTGTTTTCCATGCAACACAAATCATAGGGGAATGTGGGGCAAGTGGGTCACCTGGGCAACTAGCCCACGCTCTTAGACCAAATTAAATTAAAAGGTTTTGAAATTCACCAGTTGCGTTTATACGACTATATTTATGTTTTCAGAGATTAAGCTGAACATAATTTGAGGCCCATTCAGATAATGTAAATAAACTTGAAAAAAGAACTTCAAATCATGATTTAGGATAACAAAAATGCCCAAACAAAACAATTCCATACGTAGCTTAACATTCCAAAAAAAACCAGAAGTTACATGACTAGAGGAAAGGTATGGGCATTTTCTATTAGATTTTTTATACTGAACTCGGGTGCTTCTGAGATAATTACTAATGCCAATTTGCAGTGTTTTATTATCAATTTGCTCATTTTAACATTCATTTCGTACTCTTTTGGTGGCATGTGTTAAGGTTTTATGATGTGGTCCAGTTGACCCAGGTGTGGGGCTAGTGGTCCACTTTTGCATGAATTTTTTAATATAAATCAAGTTAATATTCATACGTTTTATTAATGTAATTGATTTCAACTGCTTGCAATAAACAAACAAGTGTTTAGGTCATGTATTAAGAGTAGTTTATCCTTTTCCTAGATTATTGAATATGGTTAAATTAGGAATATGCTCAAGTGGTCCAGTATCCCCACTTTCCCCTGCTGAGTTGTGGTGTTTTGGATAGCCCCAGTAATGTGACATTAATGGTGTTGATATGTCGACGAGAAAGAATGTCGGCCGGTAAATTCACTTTAACAGCATAGTGTTTGCTTTCCTTAGAAGTTGCTAAAACGGCCCGAGGGGCTAAAGCTTAGTGCACACACGTTCGCCAAGACACGACTAAGCGATGATATCAAAGCAATAACATCCACACGATGAATAAAGATGATAAAGAAACTGAGTTTGTACATACATCAGTTTTTTAAACAATAACTTGAACTTTTCTTCTGAAACTAATTGTCATTCTGAAAACATATGGAATTAACGCAATAAAGAAGCAGTTTCATTAACTTCAACGTTCTCATATACTGACACAATCATGTAAAGTGATTGTGGGATGTTAAAACGTGACGTCGGTGGATGTAACACAGATGAAAACATGATCCCTGTCATATTCCCTTCAGAAAAAGTGTGAAAACGTTAGGTACTGGTAAATGCCGCGAGAACGTATTCCTTTTTTGGTGGCAAGCAAAGCTAAAGCAAAATCTAAAGCTAAATCTGTATTTTTTATTTAAACGCTTTTAATTCAACACTACTTGAACCACAAAATCAGTTTCATTTAATCTGATCGCCTCCTGTAATTCTATGATTATGAACACAAACATTCTACAACAATAATTAAGGTGAATAAAATGAATACGATGAGCGCTTGGTCGGTAATAAAACCGGTATAAGTACATCACCAAGGATCCTGGATTTTTCTCAGTTGTATCCATGCTAGTCCTGAGTTCTAAAACAAAGAAGAGCCAGTTCCAAAGGATATCAACACGCACGTGTCACAGCTCAAGTTTCAGTTCAGTGTCTTCCGCTGTAGCAGCTAACGGAATCCGTAGACTGCCTCCGTGTACTGTGGGCCGGAGATGACTCCACTCGTCACGTCTCTGCAAACAGCCTGAATTTGGGGTAGATATACATACAGAGTCCACACCACTTGCAATTGCACTTGCTGTTCACTCAATGGACGGCAATGATAACACACACCCATAGCTGCCTGGGTCTCATTTGAATTACAATCTGAGCCCAACTGTGGTAACAACCTATTTTAGCGTCACATATACAAGTCTTAACGTATATATGTAGGTAACACCTGGTACGTGAGAGCCAAAGAAACCAAGCAGATATAGACATGCTAACTTTGAAGTACGTTCAGGGACCCCCCATCATCGTCACCATCGTCACCATCGTCACCATCGTCATCATCGCCACCATCGTCATCATCGTCATCATCGGCACCATCGTCACCATCGCCATCATCGT